ATGAACGTCTTAATATCTTCTTGCTCTGACTTCATCCCTTTGAAAATTCAAAGCTCCATAGATTTATTTATAATTTAAGTACTCCTACTATCTATTTATTTATTAATAATTGTAAAATCTCATTCATGGTGATGGGGGTCCTTGTAAACAAAATTCAAATCTCGGAACAAATACTAACTAAACAACAAAACTGGGGGCTCAAACCTTATCTCACTCTCGCATGTTTGTGTGTCTGTGATACGCCACATTTTTTATATATTTTTATTTCATCTACTTTTGTTGTAAAATAAAATGCAATTGCTTTCTGAGGGGATTGAAACATTAATTTTCTTTTTTTAATTTTTCAGGGGTCTTTTAATTGATTATAGGAAGTCTAGTTATTATCATAAAGTTAATTAAGCTAAGTAAATCATATATGTAGTTCACCCGACAAGTTCTTTTTGTTTTTCTAAATTTAAATGATTACTATTTACTTCCCATAAAATTGAAGAATGAACAACCACGAACAAAGCATCAAAAAAATAATTGAATTCACCACCTTAAGCATTTCTTTCCGGTCCCAAAAAATAATTTATTTTATTGAATAATACAGTCAAATAAAATAAATTATTTTTTTTGAATAAAAGGAGTATTTCGATTAAAAAAATAAAAAAAAATTATAGCTATGTCGACTAACTGAATGATCCAATTAATGTTTCAAAAATTACAATGATTTCTACACGAGTACAAAGTTGTGGTCCAATAACCATAAACTATTGAATCACGTAAGCCATTATAGTTTTCTTTTTCCTCCTTTTGGGCGAATTACATTTTATCGTTAATTAATTTACCATAAACTTCTCGAGTTTCCGTAATATTATCATATACCACATGAATCATAATCAACTTATCAAATATCTCTTTAATATACTAACATCATCATCAATTTTTGTGGTAATGGTCAACAATTCCCTTCAATCAATATTATTTAAATTATACAATCTAAATATTTTGAAAAATATAATATAAATTAAGCTTAAAAAATACTTCATATATTAATTTTTTTTTATTAATGCACTTAGATAATAAATTTTTAGAATTAAATATATTATGTCTTTTGAAAAAAAATCTCCATTAGTTAACTTATAGGTTTTTTTGTAGCCTTATAAATTTATATTATTAATCATATATGATTTTTATTTATTAAATATGTTATATTTAGATGTGAAAAATGGAAACTTAAGTAATTTTGTTTTTAATGGTAAAAAAAATAAGAAAAACAAGCTGAAATAAAGAAAAAGAAAATGAAGTGTATGCGAACCATGATTATTTTAGTTATTTAATGTTTAATCTCTGCTTAGCATATACTAATCAAACTTGGAGAATCGGGGCAAAACTTGAGGGAAAATGTAATTCGGCCTTTTCCTTTTTTGCAACACTCGAAAACCCTAGCTACTATTATTAGCTTATCTTTTTGGTATTCATATTAGGGTGATTAAATAGGACAAAAAAAAAAGGATATGATTGAAGTAGTAGTAATAATAATAACACTGACAAGCATCTGTTTCACGTAATTGTTCCATCTTAGCTGTTTAATATGTACAAAAATCCAGTATGTCACACAACTATAGTGTTCTTAAATGTCACTTGCATGACCCATATTTATTATTCATTTCGTCCCAAAATAAGTATCTATTTTATATTTTCATTTCAACTTTTTAAGTACAAATTATATTAATTTAAAATTTAAGTATGATAATTATTTTGGGCATATATAGAGAGCAATTGACAAGCACTCTATCGTTTGGGTAGATATACTGATCACACCGATGTTGTGCCTCTACAATCCAATAGATTTTGATGTTAAATCTCACCTTTTTATGTTTTTTTTTTAAGAAAAAGTTAGGATGCGATTATTTGATTTTTTTTTAATGTATAAATTCATCAAAGTAATAAAAGTTTATTACAAAATATAACTAGCACTGAAATAAAGTTTCAAATTTGGTACTTAAATGTTGTGAATATCAATACATTCGTTCAGATTTCAGAAGTGGTATAATCTCCATCTGTGATGACTTGCCTGCGAAGAACTTATCGTTCGTTGTCCGGATAATATTATCGCTCATGTTTTTCTCAAATTTGCAAAAACAATCTCATGTAATTTAAACTTATGGAGTAATCTTTTTAGATTTATATTTTAATTGGTACTGGACCAATTCCACTGATTTTTAATGAAATATATTTCCTAACAAAAAAGTGGTATATAAAAATGACAATAATTTTTTTTTCCCCTTTTTCTCAATCCTAGTGAAGTAAAAAATAAAATCATAAAAATAATTCCTCTATCTCAAAATGATATTCCTGTTTCAATTTTTATAATTGTACTAAAAAAAATTCAGATCTAACAATCAATCGGAATTATGTGAGAACTTTACACGAACTTATACATAGTGTTTGATGCCTTTCGCTGAAATTTTTACAAGTAACACATAGAACAAGTCTATAATAATACTACCTAAATTATGTTTTTCCTTTATTTTGTAGTTCTTATACAAAAAGAGAAAAATGAAAAAAAAATTCAAAATGAATAAAAGCCTTGATGAGTATATTCCATGTGAAAGAAACCAAGGTAGCAACAAAGAAATAACACAAAATGATCCAAAGAAGAAAGATGGAGAAAAGAATTTTATTGATGGAATCTGAAATTTACAACTAAAGGAAATTCACAAAAAATTGAAAAATGTTCTAAGCGTGTAAAACACTGCTCTTAAGACAATATTTACCTCCACTAGATTGCAAACAGAGTTTGATTGGCAATTTGCCTCTAGGACTTAAGAACACAAAAACATGCAACTTGCAATTTATTGAATGTTTTTCAGGATTTTGGAATGCAAAGGTTATAATGAAATCCTACATTAATTCACCTATTTATAGGCAATACTTGCATAAATAAAAGGACACAAAATTAAGTACACAACCCTTGTCTTGTAGAAAATAACCACCATGAATATGAAAAGTTGCCAATTTAATTATTATCCTTAAATTCTAAATTAATTATTTTTATTTTACGTGCAAACTAAATTTTCCAACACTATGTTGGTCAAGAACTACGACGATGTGACTTGGAAAAATTCAGTGATAAGGAATTTATGTACAAAAATTATGTCCTCATAAAATTCTGCGATGTAGAATACATCCATAAAATCAAAATGAGAAGTTAATTAGCAACAAATACTGTAACTCTTTTTTCCTTTTTCTCTTATTGTATATTCTGCTTCGTTTTTTTCCCCCCTTTTCGTTTTCCATATGAAATTAAAATCTGGACATATAGGATGGATTCTGAGTTTGGTACGACTTCGTTGAGAAATAACGAGACTTTCTAATAAAAGTATTTTAATAAATTGTAACTTGTATATGTGTATACGGTACGAATTCTGATTATAGTTAAACCGAATCATCACCTTCATTACCTAGACTAGGTAATTGCCGCTTTCTCTGTTTAATTATTACATATAGGCCAATCAAACAAGAAAACTACGTACTTAATTAAGAGATATGAACAACTGAATCCAGTTGCCTACAGCCAAGTTGCCCACTACGACTTAGGAGAAACCCTCAAAAGACAGTGACCGATCCACACGTTCTTTCCGATCATTTTAATGTAATACTCCTTCCGTCCCAAAAAAAAAAAAAAAAGTCCATATTGAGTTTTCAAAATGTGAACTATTTTTTTGGGACAAAGATAGTATATGTTGACCCTGTCTTTATGATATATGGTTAGAAAGATAGAAGTTGGTGATGAAATTGAAGCAGTGACTAACAGTTTGTTCATCGTGGATTATAAATAATTAACTAATAATTAATAGAAGTATTCATGATATGCTTAGGAAAGTGCTAATTAAGTAAAGAAAACTATACTGAAAATCATACGAAAAATTATAGTTTTAATTGCTTAGTTAACGATGATAGATTTGCTACAAATTATAGACACGAGGGGTGATTATTTAGGGAAAAAAGGACATTCAACGATTAAGAAGCATCTATAGAAGTGACAATTAATAAGCATCTAAAAAAAAATAGTTCAGTTTTATTAAAAAAACGTATGAAAAAATAATTCATATTCATAAAAGTCAAAATTAATTTAATTAAAATAACTAAATCATTCTTATAACTAAAATAGAGGTAAACCATTATTTTGACTTTCGAGTTGGAAATAAACTAAACTAGGACACAATTAAAAATTTGTAAAATGAATTGACCATGACTAAAAATTAAAGGTTATATCTTTACAATGAGAAAAATTTTTTTCAGGACGGAAGGATGAAAAAAGGTGACAAAATTTCTGCTTCTTCTTTCCCCATTCCGGTGAAGTAAAAAAGAAATCATGAATGGAGTTTTATGTTATAGTTTCGATTAGTTTCCTTGAAACACATGTTTCTACGAACATATAGAACAAGTCTACAACGCTAAAATAATCTATAATAATGGGTCGACTTTGGTACGTTTTATACTCAGATTTCATTCCGGGTAAACTTTTCCAAAGGATTAAGTTTTGGAACCGATTATATAAGCTTCCTTGGTAGATTGGTGGGTCTAACGATTTTGATCCTATAATTTTATAGTAGTATTTCTATAGTAAATATAGTACTCCCTCCGTCGCATAATTAGTGTCCAGTTTGAGTTTTCATTTTTAGTTCAAATTATACTAAAAGTGAACTTAAACTGGACAATAATTTTGGGACAGAGGGAGATACATACAATAATCGTTTTGAAATGACAGAAAAAATAATAAAATAATATAATATAAAAGCCTAGATACATATCTAGAACTGTAAAATGATGTGACTTGCAAATATTCATTGACGTGGAATTTATGTACAAAAATTATGTCCTTATAAAATTCTGAGATATACTAGTAGTTTATATCCATAAAGTCAAAAATGAGAAATTAAAATTAGAATTGAATTAACTATTTTCCTCCTTCTTCCTCTTCTTCCTTTTTTTTTTTTAATTTTTTTTTTATAAGGCCAAACTGAAAAAATACTAGTATAAAAAATATGAATAACCGAATCCAGTTGCCTAAAGCCAAAGTGGCTCCTCAACTTAGGACTTAGGAGTAATCCTCACAAGACAGTGACCGATCCCCCACCAGAGTTCCATTTTAACTCTCTCAATCAATCCAATGTCACACCTTCCAATTTCTTCCACAACCCACAATAAATAAGCATCCAAAATCACACCTTTCCCTTCCAAAATCTTCTTAGAAGCTTTTCTCCACCAACAAATTCAACTAATTTTCCCTCAGTTTTTCAAACCCCCACGCGGTAGAAGAAATGTGCTGCAGCCACAGTTATGGCTTCTTGACCTCAAAAACCGAACCTTTGGCAGCCTTATTCACCACCGTTCCCGCGTTATCTTCACAAAATCGGCCCGACCCAGTTGCTAAAGTTTCATTTCCTGTCAATCCCACGCCTCCACAAGGTTTGAAGACCCGGGTCGGTTACCGGGTCGGGTCCGGAAACGGATCTGTGTTCACCAGAGCTGCTGTCCAGGATGTTGTTTCAGTGGCGGAGGAGAGCTGTTTTTATGATCTTTTGGGTATACCGAAGACGGGTACACAGTTAGAGATTAAGCAGGCTTATAAACAGCTAGCTAGGAAGTACCACCCGGATGTGTCGCCGCCGGATCGGGTGGAGGAGTATACTCAGAGGTTTCTTCGGGTTCAGGAGGCTTATGAAATCTTGTCCGACCCTAATCGAAGGGCCCTTTATGATAGAGATATGGCTAAGGGCCTCCACTTTGCTCGCCGGCGGTACCAGAATTATGACGAGGTTAGGTTTCGTCCTTTTTTTTTGCTTGAAAGCTTTTTTGGCGTCTTCTTTTATTAATCTTTGGTCTTGGAATCTTCATTCTTGTTCCTCTTTTTGTTATAAAAATGATTTCGGCCGAGGTTAATGGTCGGCTCCGGTGGTTGGGTGTTTAGTGGATTGTTGAATCACATATTGCCTTGCCTGCATGTTTTGGAGGATTATTATGCTTACTTTCGTTTTTTCTACCCTTTTTTTTGGTTAATTGTCTTATTGAATAACACTTAGTATTTGATTATTAAGAAGAAGTCCTTTTTCAGTTGGATTATATTTAGGATGAATGTGTTTTTCTCGTTTAGGCACCTTGGGAAAGATACCATCTTGGTCATTTTTCGGTTCAGATTCTTAATTAGTGTCATCACCAAATTATATCAGAATATAATCTTGAGTACTTTGGAATCCTTGATTTAGAATATATTCTGTGGTATATCTTATAAATATGTCTTTATACTTTGTGTTCATGCTGAGGTTGCTGTTCTGATCTGATATGAGTTGTATGGATATCAATCCTTACACGCAGATGTACGTTTAAGATTACTCAATCTTGTATATATCATTTTTATTCTGGGGTTTTCAACTTGGATAGACTTTAGTATCAGGATCAAACCTTGGAATCTCAGTTGTGCTCGTTGCAAAGTTTCTGGTGGGGGTTGATATGACTGCATTGATATGCCTAGATAGTGATCATTAGGTGTACAGCAAAGATTTAGAGTATGGTCCATAGGGAAGAGGATCTCGTGGGAATATATGTGTGCTCCTGGTAGCTAGGCACCTCTAATTTTGTTCAACTAAAACGGGACAAATATAACATGTATTGGTGTGACTTTGTGTAAAAGAGGGACACTTTATTGCTCTAGTATTGTTGATGCCAACTCTGTTGAGACTGATTTTGCCTCCTTCATATTTTGCGGGTGTTACTGACCTTGTGATTCTCTTTTCATCAAAACCTATTCGGTAGTTATGAACTTAAAATCCTAATTGATTAGGACAAGTTTTGTTTCCTTGGATAGATGCAGATATTCTCATATATGAAATGGTATGATGATACCGGTTCTTTTCGATCCAGTCTGAGTTGCACTCTAGAGTATTGATATTCATGGTTTGGTTTATGGAAACAGGACATGGAAGACAAGAGTCAGTGGAAGAGCCGATGGCAAAACCAAGTTTCAGAATTGAAAAGAAGAAGCAATTACAAAGATTCCGGCAACATGTCTTGGGGGGCACGAATGCGCCGGCAACAGAATGAGTCATCTTCTTAGTCCATGCCAATGTCTTCTTCTTCTTTTTTTTTTTTTTTGGTCTAAAGTTGAATGTATATAGTTTTCCTCTTTTTGGAATAGGGAACATCTGGTTCATGGTTGCATTTTCGTGACAGCAGAAGAATACTGTCGCTTAGCTTATCATGCATTTTTAGATATGATCCTGAGATGTCTGCATGCCATAATCACATGCGCCGCTAGTAAATACTACTCTTTGCATTATGTACATAAGAATGAGCATCAAGAACTTTCTGGACATTAACTATAACCCTAGTTTGCTCGTGTTATGGTGTGTTTTCCATTCAGTTCCACTTACATTGATTGACTATCTGAACTGCTTATTTTAGCTTCTATACGAAGTTGTCACCTAACAAAGCACTTGCCACTCTGCCTCAGTTGGATTCCAATGCTCGATTAGGTCAACCATGTACCTTTATGAGTTTTGTGTTGCTGGTTTATTTACTTTAATCAAATGAGGTTCACTTGTTATATAGTTTGTTGCTGCTACCTTTGTTACCAGTTTCTCAAACCTTTACGTGTTCATATGTTCAAACTCTCCCCAGTTCCATATTGCCTTCGTCTATCTTCATCTCAGTTCTTCCTTTGCCCCGAGCTGCACTACACATTCGACTTGGATTTAGGAAACGTCGTCGAGGAACCTTCTTTCTTGTCCTTTGTGGTAATGATGCAGTGCAGAACACGGAATCTAACTACCAGAATGGTGCAGGACACGGAATTTAACCACCAAGAATAACCAAAATGTAGTATCGTACAGGACTATTTTTTTGTTATAAAATTTGTCTTTCTTGTCGGCCTGAAAAGGCTTACAGTATGGCACTCCCTCTTCTTACGGTGACAATTTGAAGACAAAACCCTTTTCTCTAAGGCTAAAGAAGCTTACAAAAAATGGTACTTAAAAAGTCCCGACCTACCGTAGCGAGATTTTTCTTTGGACAAAAGAAACTTCATTTTTTTGTAAAACGATGATTATTTAGACGGTTGAATACCTTCTTCTTACCGTGGTTTGTAGCCTATTACAGTGGCGTGGGTTTCTCATGTTACGAAAAAAAATAAATACACTCGACAGCCACTAGAACTTAGTCCCGTAAAATCTTAAATCATCTTGGGAGAAAAATCTTGCAGATTGTATACCGTGGCCGTGTGCATATGATATAATAACATGTAGTATTTCATTCTATGTACAACCTTGAATTATTTGAGACGCAATGGTATCAGAAATAAGTATTCCTTCCGTCTCAGAAAAATAGTCCACATCGAGTTTTGAGATTTGTATTAGTTTTAGTACAAATTTAAAAACTTAATGTGGAATGTAGACTATTTTTTTGGGATGGACGTAGTACAAGTTTACAAGTATTTGACGGTGTAAGATTAGTTTACTAGACGCAAAATGTGAGCATGACATGAAGGGAGTTGAGCTGAAATTCAACCTTCTTATTTGTGTGAATCAAAATTTTTCAGCAGTTTCAAATAGGGGAAATTTATGGATCGAGTTCGAATCATACATGTGGCTCACTGGCGAAGCTTTTCTTTCCCCCCTAATAATTCAATCAAGATAGAAGCTTCTTCTTCATTATCAAACACGTCAAATCAGTGAGTGGGACATTCAAAATTACTGGTGAAAGTGAGTACCAAAGGGTATATAATAATAATTCAGAGCTTTTATTTTCTTGAAGTAAAGGACCACTAATTGATATAAATTCCAGACAGTAATCAATCAAGCGTCGACTGCTAGAATGAATCAAGAAGTCCATTGAAGGAATGGAAGACAGTTACTGCAAAACTCATCTAATCCACATGGAACTCTGCTCATCAAATCGGGGCAATTTTTATTTATTTTGTAATTGAAAAAAAGCGAATTATATGCAAATGTTTTCTTGTCATTTTCTCAATATCAATAATAGATAAAAATTGAAACCAATCCTTTTTTTTTCATACTTTTTTACTGAAAGCGAAGGCATATTAGACTTGAACTAAAAACTCTCAAATTGTTGCATATCATTCAATTTTTTTATTTATTTTTTAATAAAAAAACTAAGACAGTATATGATTGCTACACCTTCAATTTGTTGACTTAAAGAGTTAAGTACAAAGAGAAAAGTGTTTAAAACTTTGTAGATTGTACATAATCTAGTATATAGATCCACAATTTGTAATAATTTGAGTAGTACATATTAATAGTTCACTTTCAAATTATTTGTAACACAATACTCTTGAAATATGTGTAGTCCACTAAATATAAAACAACGAGGATATAAATGAAAAATATACTATACGGGTAACAAATATACCATACGAGCAATATAGTAGTTTCAGATAAAAATTATGATCGTTATTTTATATATTATTTTTCCACCATTAAGTCGCGCGGACTTAATCTAAGAAACTACAAATAAAATGTTTGTACATTTAAAAAGTGGAGGCCAAAAAAAAAGGGGAAAAACTTGACCAAATATATCTTTTTATCCCATAGTAAAGACCATACATATTTTGAAAATGAAATTACTAACTGCAGCTATTAAAATGCAACGTAGTAAAGAATGAAAAAGGCCACATTGAACCTTTTTCATTCCACTTCTACAATCACACAAAATTCACATCACTATGATATTTAACATCCACGCAGTGCACACATAAAACATCTTTCAAGAAGTTAGAAACAAATCTTAATTTCATCAAACTGAAACTGAACAACTTTGTTCAAACTGACTTATTCAAGCTAACCACTCCTTGAGCTCTGATTTGAACTCCTCGACTTCCTGCTCTGGCAAAACAACAGTAACAATCCTAGCACCACCAGTTTTCGGCCCCGGAAGCACGAAAACAGCTCCATTGTCGCCAACGCCGTCGATCATGCAGCTCGCACTAACTGGATTTATCCCTGAATACTCGAATTCATAAAATTTTGCTTCCTCTAAGTCCACAAATGTTAAATTCGCCCCGTACAACACGAAATCTGCCAACCCTTTCGCCCGTTCCATGGCATCCTCGATCTTTTTCCGCTCGTCCTTCGCCTGATTCTTCAGCATTGCTGCTAGCTCCCCATGGCTGGCTTTTCCAATGGAAAAATCAACTTCCACCACGCTCACTACTTGACTGTTGTTGCTCAAAGTTCCAACTTCCTTTTTTGTTGCATCCTTTCGGCAAATTGTGACGATTTTCGGCTCGTGATCATACCTTATTTTGGCAATAATCTTCCATATCATAGCAGAAAGGGACTCAAAAGGAGGAATTTCAGTGCCATTTTTGTCACTCAGTTTTGTCAATCGGTCAAGTGTGACATGAAATGAAAATGTCTCTAACTTGCAGTTGTTGACAGTAATCCAATTATCCTCAACTGGGCCGATTTGTTGGACTGCAAGCGGATCCTCAATGAGTTGTTTTGGGCTTTCGATTGTTTGAGTCTTGGCTTTTGGTTGGGTTGAGATTTTGGGCTCTTTCCCAGCTAAGATTCTGCCCAAATTGTTCATGAACTCAGCAGCTGAGAATGCATCTCCCAAAACATGGGCCCAGCTTAACCCAACAGCCATTCCTCCACATTTGAATTTTGTGTACTGCAATAAATATGGAACGCTTCATAATAATATTTTTATTTCGTATTTACCATGTTATGAAATAGATTTCTCAATTTAGTTTACAGCAATATGCATTTTTGGGTAAATTTTCCGGTGGAGAAAAGATTCAGAGAGCCTAACACAAAATATCAATAAGCAAGTTAAAGTTAATTAGAGACCTCAATGTTTAAATGGATGCTTTTAGAATCACGATCTATGACTCTCAATGCAGTAATAATAATATAGTTGAAACAAAAATTACTTATTAATTACTTGCAAGATTGAAATTACACCAAAAACTACCAATTTAACACCTAAAGTTGTGTTATTGACATAATCGAACTAGCTAAAAGTGCATATACTTGCAAGAAACCAATACAACGTTAGGTTGACGAAGCATGATGACTACTACCTTAAATTATTAAAAATAAATAAATTAACTTGTGCAAAATGACTTCTTCCTGAAATTATTCAAATCTCTGTAACTTGATTGTTGGGGAAAAAATTATTAAGAAATGTAAAACCATTCGTGAATATATATTACTTAAAGATGTACAACTACGTGTAACAACTACTAAGTTTATTTGTTTGGTAGTAAATCACTGAATATGGAGGATATATATCGCCATCCCAACCTATTGTTAAATTATATCCTTCCAATTGTCTTTAGCCTTTCTTATTATCTTTCTTTGAATTAATGAATACTTTAATTATGTTTTAAATGCATTCACTAGCAAGTTTTCGTAATCTTGGGCAGCCATAAATAAGTCAATTTCATACTCATTCTGGGACAAGAGTAAAAATAAAATAAAATAAAATTAAAGGGTAGGTCAATCTTGGTAGTAAACTATTTCACAGACTACAATGTCAAATTACCAACCAAAACCCTGTCTCTACAAAGTTTTGCTTTGATGGTTTCAACTTTGAAATATTCTATTTCATTTCAAATTGTTTATATTTCATGTACTTTGATTTTTGCGGATCTTATAAAGTATCGATTACCATTTCAGTTTTATTGAATGGAAGAGAAGAAAGCATACAAGGGATTTTCAAGTAAATGATCAATTATACTACAGTTAAACTCTAACTACTCTCTCCGTCCCATAATTATTGCCCAGTTTGAGTTTTCATTTTTAATTCAAATTGTATTGAAAGTGAAATATCAAACTGGTTGGGACAGAGAGAGTACTTGTTAGTTGGATTTAATTGAAACAAATAAAGTATTCTCTCTGTTTTAAAATTATTTTCCGTGACGGAGGGGTACATGAAATTGGAAGACTATATATAGACATTTTCCTACATCTGGGGACCAAAAGTTCTTAGTGAGAGTACAAGTAGAGGTGTAATATTGATGTGCCACTTTCACTTTAAAAAACTCATTTCATTAAATATGTGTGTTGGGAATTAGTTGGAAAACTTGCAAGCCATAAATGCGTGAATGATTTCGTGCAGGGATCATGAACGTTTATGTGCCATTAATGTTCGAGTAATTTACAATTAACCCCTCTCCACAAATTTTAAGTAAATAAAAATGTATTAGTAAAAAAAATGTATTAGTAACGATAGAAATGGTAAATTTATTTATGATTAATTGAGTGACTGATGTATCACGCAAAAAAAACATAAAAATACATAGTTCTTTCATGTGAAACGCTAGATATAGTTACCGGAAGATTAATATTTGTAAATTTTCACGTGTGACGCATGAATATTACTGAATCATTTTACTGATTAAATTTATCACGTCCATAGAGGTTACCAAGTCAAATTAAGCATGCATATTAAAAAGTTGTTTAGACCAAGTTGATCACGATGATGAGGAAATTAATGACATACCTGCAAGTAAACCAGGGGAGAAAATGACAATTCAGGGCCAATGATTTGCTCAGAGAAGAGCAACCTCTCGAGGGCAGAATCGGAATCCTTCATCTCAAGCCATTCATCCAAAGTCTTCTCACACTGGGCTTCAATCATCCTTACACCACAATCATTACACTTGATGATCGGCCGGCCAGATTCCGATCTCCGAAACCGGCCAGCGGTCACGTTGTAGTGGTTAAACCAAGTGAACATGGGCTCCTTGATTTTCCTAGTAGTAAGACCTTCAAAAGCTTGGCTTGGGAAGTAGTAGATCATCCTCAAGTAGTGCAATTTCGTGGCTAAGTCCATCCCACTTGGCTCATAAACGATGTCGTGACCGGAAAATCGTCCTGGTCCGACGGAAGATAACCTCTTGCTGTGGACGAGGCTGCCTCGTTCGTTGGAGGACACCATTTGTTTTTTTTTGTTTTTAGTTATGATCAAAGAGAAAGAGAGAGAGTGAAGTCTTGGTGACAGTGAAGGCTCTAAAATTGTTTCAAAGGGAAAGGAAATTTTCAGTTTAAGGTAGCGGAGATCTTTCCACATGTGTTACTATTTATATAAGATGCTAGCTACTTTAGTCCGTTCTTCTCCCAAAATAAAAGTCGCACTTATTATTACCATTTACAAAAAAAAAAAAACTCATATTCAGTTTTGATGTTTATATACTAAAAGCAAATTGAATTTTGAAATTTGTACTAGTTGAAGTACAAATATCAAAATTCTATGTTTTTGAAACAGAAAGAATATAATTTATTTTTTCAAGAAACAAAATTCTTTTTTTTTTTTTTTGGGAATGAGGAAAGTATTTATTTTTTTACTATTTATTTGCAGGATGGTTAGACAGCATTGCATTATGTACTCCACTATTAATATTTTTATTCATATAGGATTCACATTCTAAAATTAAAGTATTTTAGTCTTACCAAATTTGTAATCCAATCCAATCCTTTTTTTTTTTAATCGGATGTCTTGATCGATTTTCACAACTACAAGCACATCCCAGTCAAAAGCCATGATTAGGAAAAAAAGTAATAATAATATCACTCGTCTCAAAAATCATAGGTTTATTATACGATTTTAATCTAAGCATTAGAACTAGATTTTCTAACAGGAAGAGGATATCTCGTGACATATCCAGATCTTAAACGCTTGTTAGCTAAAAACACTGGTTAGTAAGATATTAAGGTTTCTCTATTCTTAGCGAACTTTTATTCCAAAATTTCTCACAATTAAACAAAAAGAATTATAGTTTTGATGATACACTTGTCGGCAAATGTATGTTCCTATATCGTAGTAGATTCATTAACTCCATTTCTAACCCGACCTTCTATAGTATATCGTAGTACTCTTCCACATTTTTATTTTTTCTTTTGTTTTCCTTTTTGTTTTGTTGCTGCTTTGGTGGTGGGTACTTAACTTCCTTTCTCAAGTAGTTGGAAATTTAATGAAACATTTATTTGTACAATTACTTAAATATTGACCCCACAATTATACATGTCAATCGTATAGGAGCACTGCAGTATGTGCAATCACATTACCGCTGATATTAATTTGATGTAATATATTCAAGGGGCTTAAAATACGAAATTTCTGGATGATTGGCAATGTTACCTAAATGGGATTAATATATCTGGTCACTTAGGGATGCATATTTATTGTAATGTTTGGATTTAGCTGGCTTGTTTGTGACAGCTTCCAGGATATCCACTTTGGAAAATTGAATTTAGAATATGAATTAATAGTGCCATTAAAGTAATTTGTCCTACCTCCTGAAAACTCACAAGGTCGACCATGGTGGTTGTCAGAGGAAAATCTAGATCTGGTTTTAATTATGATGTATTCGAATTTGGGGGAAAAAAAGGTGTGTATTACTACACCTGTATATTACATTTTATACCAGTCCAGCTAAGGTCTAATGAGGGCTAAAATAGTAATTTAGTCACCTAATCTATACAATTGGATTATGTACATCAGTCTAACTATATTTACAAATATACAACTAATCTGAATTATATACAATTCTTATGACAAACCAAGAACCCGAGTCATGATCAGATCATCAACGTCTTCATCCTCTACGACTGAATCACAGTGCTGCTGTTCCTCGTGCTGCACTTGCTGGAAATGAAGTTTGATATCTGAAATCCCCCCCTCAAGCTTAGGCTGGGTGCGATGAACATCACCCAAACTAAGCTTCGAAAGTAGGAAAGAAAATTGGGAAAAATGGAGGGATTTGGTGAAGAAGTCTGCTGGTGAAGTTTATCACGATGTAGACAGGCTGAATGAATCCTCTTTTGTATTGATTACGCACCACATGACAATCAATGTCGAGGTGCTTGGTTCGTTCATGAAAAGTGGGGTTCTCTGTGATGTGAATAGCTGCTTGATTTTCACAAGCAAAAGGAATGGGAAGAGAAGGAGGTAAGTGTAGATCAGACAGAATATAGTAAAGCCATTGGAGTTCACAAACGGTGGATGCCATACTCCTATATTCAGCCTCACAAGTAGAACGAGAAACAGTAGTCTGTTTCTTGGATTTCCAGGAAACAAGAGAGGAACCAAGAAATAGACAGAAGCTGGTTAAAGAGAACCTAGTTTCAGTGCAAGTGGCCCAATCGGCATCCGAAAAGGCTGAAAGATTGAGATCAGCGGAGGCTGAATAGAACAAGCCAAGAGAAGGAGAGCCCTTGAGATACCGAACAACATGTAGAGCAGCTTGCCAATGGACATCTCTAGGGGAATGAACAAACTGACTTAGTTGTTGAGTACAATAAGCCAAGTCAGACCTGGTAAAACCAAGATAAAGAAGCCTCCCCACCAAGCGTTGGTACTGATCTGGTGAAGCAAGTAATGGACTCTTTTCATCTTGAAGATTGAGTCCGTGAGGTAGAGGAGTAGAGACGGTTTTGCTGCCAAGAAGACCAACACTGTCAATGATATCAAGTGCATATTTCCTTTGATTTAAGGAAACGCCGTCTGATGATCTGGTGAGTTCAACACCAAGGAAATATTTAGCACTTCCCAGGTCTTTGATAGTAAAAGCAGCATCCAAAAAACGTTTGGTATCAGTGATCATAGACAAGGAGGAACCTGTAAGAAAGACATCATCCACATATACCAATAAAATCAGAATATCAGAACCAGCATGTTTTATAAACAGGCAATGATCATGTTGAGACTGAACAAAACCAAAAGAGGTGAGTTGTCGTGAAAGCTCTTGATTCCACTGTCTAGACGCCTGTTTTAAACCATATAAAGATCTGTTAAGCCGGCAAACCTGACCCGGCTGAGCTGAGAGGTAACCAGGAGGAACCTGCATTATTGATATCCAATTGGTGTAAGGGCCACTGTTTGGTAGCAGAAAGAGCAATAACAATTCTAACAGTAACAAGCTTGGCCACAGGGGAAAAGGAGTCATAGAAATCCTGACCTGCTATTTGATTAAATCCCTTTGCCACCAACCTGGCTTTACACTTATCAACTGAACCATCGGGAAGATACTTGGTTTTATAAACCCACTTGCAACCGATAGCGTTCTTGTGAGGTGGCAGTGTGGTCAAGTCCCAAGTATGATTAATATCTAAGGCATCCAGCTCCTTCTGCATAGCTTCAACCCACTCAGGAAGCTGACTAGCCTGTTCATAGGAAGATGGTTCCTGGACTTTGGAAATAGTAGACAGAAAGGACAAATAGGAAGGATGTAGATATGTTTGTCGAATAAACGGAAAAGTGGTTGGTGGAATGAATTTAGAAGGAGGTATGAAATCAGTAGAGGAAGGAACGGTGGAAAGAATCGCAGGAGCAGAAACAGCGGACGCGGTATAGACATCCATCCGGTAAGGTTTTCTCTTAATCCTAGAGCTTGTTCTGATGATAGGAACAGTGGAAGTGGATTGATCAGAGTGATGATGAGATTCAGGTTGGAAATTAGAAGGCAAAAGATCAGGATAAGATACATTCAGGTCATCAGGTTGAACTACAGGAATTGGAATGGATTGTTGAGGTGTAAAAGAAACCTTGTAAGGGAAGATATGTTCCTGAAAAACAACATCTCGGGATATATGAACCCGATGATCATCAAGACTGTAGACTTTATAAGCCTTTTGGCCAATTGGATAGCCAATAAAAATACCTTTGAAAGCTCTTGGAGAAAACTTATCCTTATGAGGAGTAACATTAGTCACATAACATAAGCACCCAAAAGTTTTGAGATGTGAAATAGAAGGTGGCCTGGAATGAAGAATCTCATAAGGTGTTTTCCACTGAAGCAAAGAAGAGGGAAGTCTGTTAATGAGATAGGTGGCTACTAGAATAGCTTCTCCCCAGAATTTCTTAGGGAGTGAACACTGAAACATTAAAGACCTAGCCACTTGAAGAAGATGCTTGTGTTTCCTTTCTACAACTCCATTTTGTTGTGGACTGTAGGCACAAGACTTTTGATGAATTATACCAAGTTGAGAAAACAGATTTTGGCATTCCTGATTTACAATTTCAGTGCCATTATCTGAGCGGATGGATTTCAGATATCAAACTTCATTTCCAGCAAGTGCAGCTTGAGGAACAGCAACACTGTGATTCAGTCGTAGAGGATGAAGACGTTGATGATCTGATCATGACTCGGGTTCTTGGTTTGTCATAAGAATTGTACATAATTCAGATTAGTTGTATATTTGTAAATATAGTTAGACTGATGTACATAATCCAATTGTATAGATTAGGTGACTAAATTACTATTTTAGCCCTCATTAAAAAATCAATTAGCTTATCTTCATCCTCTCTAGCATACAGTATACGAAAAATCTCAAGGGAACAAGCTGGCAGCGGCCTGTAATGTTCATACTCGTCCCAAATTCCTTTTAAAGCACTGTAATATTGTACTAGAGACCGGTCTTCCTGTCGAATTGAACTACGATGCTGACGCATCTTATACAGCTTGTTGCTATTAGTAGTACCATACTTTTCAGCTAGATCATCCCACAGTTGCTTAGAACTAAGATTATACATATAACCAGCAACAAGATCACTAGACATGGCAGCTAAGATCCAAGATTTCACAGTAGAATCAACTTGTTTCCAAACGAAAATGCAAAAGTGAATTCGGAGCAGGCTCAGGACAACGACCATCAATAAAGCCTATTTTAAGCTTAGACTCAAGAACATTACGCATCGAACGACTCCAGATCAAGTAATTACCCTTAGTAAGTGCTGTAGAAACAAGTTGCATACCAGGATGTTCAGAGGCATGTAGAGTTAAGCTTGCTTCTTGAATTCGCTGCTCTTCTGTCAATCGATCTTCGCGATTCGCCATTGTAAGGCTTGAGATCTAAGAACTAAACCGATAGAACTCTTGCGGAAGCTATGGAGAAGCGATTGACGGTAGGAATTGGCCAGAATCAAAGCCTGTGAGCTCTGATACCATGAAAACTCACAAGGTCGACCATGGCAGTTGTCAGAGGAAAACCTAGATCTGGTTTTAATTCTGATGTATTCGAATTTGGGGGAAAAAAAGGTGTGTATTACTACACCTGTACATTACATTTTATACCAGTCCAGCTAAGGTCTAATGAGGGCTAAAATAGTAATTTAGTCACCTAATCTATACAATTGGATTATGTACATCAGTCT